GGCCCACAAATAGCCCCAATTCACGTATAATTGACGCCTGTTAAAATGCAATGGGGAAAAAAAAACTAACAATAATCCCTAAAAAAGTCTCCTTAAAATGCTGAGAAACATTGAATCCACAGAAAATGGGATCCGATGATTAATAAATTGATCCATCGGCAAATTATGACTTTACAACTGATCATCGATTTTTGCATGGCAATGAAAAATGTCTGCCAATCTGATCCGGCCGATTAAAATTTGTCGACTAATAGTTGCGGCATTTGCAGGAATCAACTACAAAATACATTCCAACTCAGCAATCAAAACACACTGAACACTTAGTACTGAGATCACACCTGTATGCTATGGAGCGAGCCAACAAGGTGTTTATAAGTTGTACAGCAGCACCACATCATCTACTGAGAGGTATTCATTGAGCGTTTCAAACCTCTGATTTAGTTTAAAAAAAAAAAAAAAAAAAGAGCAGTAAAGTTCTACATCACATGAATTCCAAAAAAATTTGAAAAGTACATGAATACCTATCTGACAATTCAAATCCAAGGTGAGCATCATTATCTTGAATTCTGCATGTGTGCCTAATAAAATGTCTTGTGAGCCAGAAAAGCCATGCAAATTCCTCTGAAAACTTCCTGAATGCAAAATAAGCAGACGCACAGACAAGACTTCTAAATTTGTGTCTTCAAACAGTCACGAGAAGAGAACTGAGAGCGCCTCTCGTGTGGAGAAAAAAGGTGGATCCGAGCAACATTTCATTCTGATGTTACGTTGAAACTCACCTCCTCCTTAGATAAGCACTCCTACGCTCAAATGCAAATTGACCTTTGAAATGTATAAAACGAGAATACCTTATTTTCCTCCGCAGGAGCCGTGCCAAAGTCTAAACTGGGACCAGATGTCATTGTCCGCACAGTGAGCAGAAGAGAAATACATTTTGTCAGGTGAGCTAACAGATGTTTGCTGGCCTGTTTCACAAATCAATCCTTCAACAAAAAAAAAAAGGAACAAGTGCGTGACACAAGAGCTTTAAATAAGTGAGATTATCACCTGTAAAATGAAAACACAGGACGGGTGAAATTCAATATTGATGGTATCGACAGAAAGACAAAAAAAAAAAGACATCGGGGCTCAGTCCAGGACGAGCGCCTACGACCTGTATCATTTTCTAGCACTAGCTCATCAAATTTGAGAAGTCACTAAGTGAAGCAATGTCCGCTCAAGTAGCATGAAAGCTCCAAGGCACCTCTGTGGTCTTAAAGATTTTCCGAGAAAAAGAAAATATATATTTATTTCAAAAATATTTTTCGCTTGGCTTCACCGCGTTCACTGAGAAGCGGCGACAACAAAATAAAGGCTGCCACCGTGAGAGCTGAGATCTCTCATTTCACAGTCCAAAAATAAAACCACTGGATGAAAGAAAGTCTGGCAATACGTCCGTTAACAGGGGCTGATTTCAGTTTCAATCAGACACCAAGCTGTAATGTCAGGTTTGATTTGTTTTCTACAAGCAAATCACTTCTAAAAACCCTCCCACAGCTCTGAAATATTCATATGAACTACAAGCTGGTGTTAAGCACAGAACACATTGATTGATTCAATTGAGAGTATGCTGAGGGATTTCTTTTTCTTCCAAAAGCAATGACATCAATATCATCGTAGTTGTAGCTGACTGTCGATGTCGTACAGTAATGCCTTACGCCACAGCATACTACAAGCAGCATAATCAACCTTTTGTGTAACGCATACCGCTCTGGACAGTATCTTGATAAATGTAAATTGTGCGTGTGTGACTAACGATGCGTCATAATAATTATACACGGAATGTGATAATTACACTGAAGAATGCAATTTGATGCCACAACAGAGACAACACCCTAGCCATTCTTACTGACTGGCTCTCAAAGTCGAAGAATCTTTATACATACAGTCAGTACTTTAAGTGGTCAGAAGTACCAGCACGTCTTAATTTTTGCCTGTGGCGTACCGGGACTGAGTACGGCATACCCGGATTTCACATTAGCCCACAGTAACCTCTGTTGTTCTATTTCCATTTTTGTGATACTCATATGACTCCTTCAGTCATTTGGGTACCTCAAAATAAATAAATGAACAAATAAATGAAATGGAGGATTTGGTATGCCTCTGGTGGTGGTTTATTTGGTGCGTGCGCCGTCATTTACCCATGTCAAGGAAGCTTCAAGCGTACAACATTACACAAGGCAAAGTTCAAAATAAAAGCTTAGCAAATAATACACCGACGACAATGCAATAGCCTTAACAGGCTTTTATTTCGAGGGTTGGCCCAAGTGATAGCGTGACGGCTAGTTTGACTTGTTTTTTTCAACATTTCGGCTGCCCTTATGACAGTTTTTATGGCTGTCACACAGTTGCTAGCAACATTAACGCAACGTCATCCCGGTTTTCAATGGCTAATTTAGGACGCCATGAAATGGCGAGTAAAATACGTTGTCAGTGTATGATTTGACACAAGTCTTCACCGTTCCTGGCCAGCAGCTAGCCGTTAAATGCTAGGTGCTAGCAACGAGTGCACCAGCTGGCAACAGCAAGTTGTCTAACCTCTGGTGCTTTGCTTTCTTTCTTTTCTTCTTATTCAATGATGTGGACATAGACTAGTTTGTAAATCACTCTTTGTGTTTAAAGGAATAGGAGGCGAACGTGTTCAATATTTCTTTGCGACAAGAAAAACAGTTTGAAACCATAACAATTATTGTAGAGTACTTGCGGCCATTTGCGATTTTGTACGAACCCTGACGAAGAAACACATTCACATATTTGCAAATACAAAAACAGTCATATTTGAATGAATCTTAAGTCATGCTCAATAAAAGTTTCAAATAATATTTCATGAAAATAAAATATGTTTTCAGCAAAATTGCAAGATGTAATGTCAAGACGACGAACCAAAATCTGGCGCCCCCATAATTGCAGTGATCGTCACAAAGGGTGACCGATATTTTCCAGATTACACAGAAATTAAAAATACTGTGAATGATATTATGTTAAATGACCGGGAGAGCCCCTCTGCCACTTTTGTTCGACAGGGATGAAGGAATATAAGATTTTATAACGAATGTATCAACTAGGAGGGCTTCTTCACAGGGGCCCCCGACATGCTTGGGGCCTGCATAATGGAATTGTCAAGTATCGGTTCTTGCTAACGGTATGGGATCGGTGGCTCCTAACGTGAATTATTTGATTTTGTACAGCTGTCCTAACATTGCACTGTGAATGAAGATTTCTTCAGCTTCACTGCGTCCCAATCCTAAAGAGGCCTCTTTTTCAAACCAATGCGTGTTTTGCTTTGTGTCCGCAATCCAACATTTAAGAGGCTATTGATTAGGTGGCAGTGACACAACAACAACAGATTGTAATTACAGCGATCAAGTTTGCAGACAGCAACTTAAAGATCATTTGAAATGAGCTACGAATCAATTGTCTACTTTTTCCACGAAATCATGAAACCTGAAGCTGTGTAGCATCAAGAAAAGAAAAAAAAAAACAATGTGATTGACTGGAATGCTCAATGAACTGCTCTGTGAGCAAAACAATCAATTCGGAGGATCTATTGCAATCTATTTCACATAAGAGTTGCCGTGCCAAGTTTGGACCCAAAAATATGTAAAAAGTTGTCCAAGCAAAGTGACTTTTCTCTTATAGTCGTTTAACCTTACTTGAAACCGAACAGCGGGACGACTCATTCAAAGCAGGAGGGGTTAAACATGCGTCTGCTTTTTCTTTCTCCCTACTCGGCATTACATAACAGACAAGAGGCGTTCTTTTTCCCTGTCGTTCCTTCTCCTTCCCAGACACTCTTTAATCGTGTGCATAAAATAGGGTGGTGGGGGGTGAATGTGGGTCAGCAGGTTAGGAGACTCTCAAAGTCAGACCCGTGAAGAGGAGAAAGAGAAAAAAAATCAATCCGAGCTTCCCAACTACCTGTCTTTGCCCCGCTATTACATAACAGCAGTCAGCCTTTGCCAAGCCACAAGTCACACACTTTTTTTCCCTCTCCTTTGTTGCTGTGTAAATACCGGAGGGGTGGTTTTTATTTCACCGAACATCAGCTCCAAAAGTGCCCGTAAAGTGGTGAGAAAGGAAAAGATCTGTAACTGACGATTATGTGATGATTTCTAACCCTCGGCTTGTGCGCCTGTGTTTATGGCTAAACCTGTTACATAACCAGCTCACATTCCACATTCCCCATATCACACTCTAAATATACACGGCAGGAAGACGAGGGCGCGCGCACATGTACACAAAACCCCGTCAAATGAATTAATTGTCAGTGGGCAGCACGTCATTATATTCAATTGTGTGGCGTATGGACACCTACTCATCTTAGAGGAATCAGTAAAAAAAAAAAAAAAAAAAAACACATCTTTTTAACTTGGGCGAGAAGAGGACTACCGTGGGGGTGTGGTTGAATTGTCTCTTGTACTGTACAACACGAATAGATCCAAAGACAGTCCACGCAACTAATACACACATTTTAAATGGAAGGCCCAGTGTGTAAGGCTTTCCACGTAGAAGGCGCGGTGCGTAAAAGACAACCAAATCCAGCAGCCGGACGTGTTTTGTATTTTTTTTTTAACGCACAGTAAAAAAAATAGAGATGTCATTTCAGTCAAACGCTCGCGAGCTGGATCACAGCCCACATCCACGCCAAGCTCGATCGATAAAGCGGTCCACAGTTTGTAAACTTTTGACACCCTGCTTGGAACGCATTTGCTCCCCATAAAAATAACTAGAACGTAACTGGTTATCCATGTGACTGACTGATTATATCAGATATGTTTTGAGCTGTGATGAATGAACGCGATTAACGCGTTCCAAATAGAAATCATAAACCGCTGCGCCCACTCGAATGAAAGCAGCTCCATGCTGATACACTGCAATTATTTCACCGGAGCTATTTAATTCATGTGGAAGTTTCACGGCCCCCAAAAACGTTCGTCACATTTCTCCACAGCCTTACTCACCTCTGTTGGTGCTCGAGCAGGTCTGCCTTCGAACCGGGGCTGGGTGGTCCGCTTTCCGGAGCGTCTCCAGGCTTACCGGGGTTTCCCTGACCGGGGTAGCCGGCTCCGAGGCGCTGTTGCCCGGGTCGCTCGCTGGATCAGGCGGGGACTCCATGTTGGATGTGGTGGTTCGCTGCCTCGCTGCGGCGTGCACTTCTAACTAGTCTCTCCGCTTTTTTCCCCCTCTCCGCGCCACCAAGCCTCAGCGATGTAATTTGGAGTAGAAGTAACAAAATGAGAAATGCGAGCGTGTGTGGAGGTGGGTGTGCGGGTCTGATTGTCCACTGGCAGCGCTAGTGAGCGCTCCACTCATGCAAACTGGCGGGGGGGGGTTGCCAAAAGGAGGAATACACAGGGCCTCGTAAGTAATCCACGCTGATCGAACCGGTGCACTTTTACACGGCAATGACACCTTGTCACTACCTTTACGCACCACTGAACTCTTCTTTTCGCCCATGCATCGTTTTATTTCAGAGGTGAAGAGGTTGCCATTATGCCACCTACAGGGTACTGCATGCTGCACTTGTAACAACTCCTCAGAGTGGCTCTGAATGCTTCAAAACACGCGACAGTGCAGCAAGTCATTTCAAACGCGTGTAAAATCGCGGCGGCTTTCGTTTTCACGGGGTACACGCAGTGTGCTCCACTAAAATCAGGGACTGACAACAGTTTGACAGGAGACTTCTCGTTTTTTGAGACAGGCGGTCGTAAACGACTGCCGTCAAGCGTCGCCGCGGCAACCAGCGTGCTCTGCTCGGCTTGTTGCTACGGTTCAAACCAGCGTGCTGCCTCACGTGATCACGAGGCCCACACGCCCATCTGAGCACGCACACGTGGACTGTGAGATGCGTCTGCCCTGTGGGAGCTCTTTGACCATCTTTTTTGCATTTGTACGACATGGAAAAAATATGCAGCTCTTCGAGAACGTCAACTGTGCTTTATTGCTGTTCAACCTTTGAACGTTTCTATCTGAATTTACCTTTTGATTGCTAAATTTGACTTCCCTGAGATGTCCGATTAATCAAGCATAACATTAACTAATTATTAGGCCCAAACTAAAATAGATTTTTTTTAGGCTGATGCTGATAGGCTGATGCTGATTCTGATATTGGCTGAATAAAATTCAGATCACTGATTAATTGGTTGATTAATTTAAAAAATATATCATGAATAAAATAATAATCTGAATATACTATTACTTCAGACCAGTTTGTCGGAGGTGTGTCAGAAAAGTTCCGGGAATGGCATCACAAATGATATATTTCAAATCCAAGCTAAAAACGACTTCTTTGCCATTATTTCATGCACACCTTGTGGGATTCTTACGGGATCGTTGGCAGCTCCGTCGTCACGGCCATTTTGATGTCGACCACGTCTTCAAATTCTCAATAGGGACTGAGAACTCTCATCTATGTAATATCCAAAATTCATAACAGTATTGAACTTAAAGTGTTGTGACACAATTGCCACTGTGACAGTGTCCATTAATCCTGAACATGATCACTCTTGTAAATGCTGATTTGTTTTTTGTTTTTTTTTAATAGGATTCTTGAATAAGATCCCATCAGACTGTTATTGTACTCATTGCATATCCAGTGATGTACTATAAGTGATGCAGAAAATGAAAACGAGCACCCCAAGAGAGGATCTATATGTCTTTGGCCTGTCCGATGTTTTTCATGTATCCACCGCAGCTTGTATAGCACAGCAACAAGACTATTTTATAACACTGTCTATCTTTCGGAGCTGCGCTACAGCGAGGGCCGACTTTTTGTCAGAGAGCCAATGGGTAGCTCTTGACTGCCAAGCAAGCAGGCCAAATTTCTTTCCCTCTGCTTAACTTAAGCTCCTCCAAATTGCCTTGACCTTTTCACCCTGTGCAATTCGACCCCTGCACTCCTTACCTATTGAATCCAAGAGGACCTGGAACTCTAGGAAGTATAACAGACACTATTATAGAGCTAAGCGTGATACACATGTACCGCTTTTTCAACATTTTACCAGTATGAGACCCCACATGACGAGGAAAATGTGTTTTTATTTTTGATTTTACAGTGTTTGTGTGCATGTGTGTGTGTGTGTGTGTGTGTGTGTGTGTGTGTGTGTGTGTGTGTGCGTGTCTGTGGTGTACCAAAGTGACCAACACAACACACCACACTCATAAAGGTATCTTGACCAACATTCGCAAGTCTCCCCCCCCCAAACCGGATCTCTGTTGAAGTACCTAAACTGACCTGTGAGGGGCAGCTCAGTGCCTCAAGGCATTCGGACGATGACAAAATACAAAGAAGAAGACAAATTTCTTGTCTAGGCTAACGTTATCTCACGAACTACACTGCGGTCACATACTCACTCTCCTTGTCATTTTTATTGTGGCGAATGACTTTGGTGAGTCATCAGTGAGGCACCATCAGCCCGGTGCGCACCGATTGACAAGGCTGAACCAGAGTGAATTGTGGCGCAATGGGCTGGTTGGGCAATTCATTTTTGTGAGTGGCCCACCATCCGGGCATTCATTTTGCTGTGATTCAAAATCGTTGGTGAATGACATCACATGGTCGTAGATGAAACAGCCAATCAAAAAGTTCAATTTTGGATCAGTGAATTCAGTTAAAATTTTTGAATTATGAACTATGAACTAGACTGTCTTTTTAAAATTTGTGAACTGAACTTTTAACTAGTTTGCGTAGAAATGAACTTTGCTGACATTCTCTTAGGACAACATTTCAGAGACAGTGGACCACTGGGCCTGTGCTGATGTTAGAAAGTGGGAAAAATGCTCAAATTCGGCCCGATAGTCTCTGTTTGTACCCGCGTTTTACACATCCACCCACATCCACACAAATACACAGATAACATTGCCCTGGGTTTGAACCAAAAAGACACAAGGACAAATTTTAATTTCTGAGTAAAAATGAATTATGCTGCTGTCACTTTGTTTAGAAGAGGAAGGATGTGAAGAGAGTGGAGTAAGCTCGCCCGCCCGCATTTAAAAATGATTGATTAAGCTGACACCGGCTCTCGGGCGCAACACCACTCTATTTTTCTCCCTTATTATGTAAGGCTATATTTCAAATCAGGTTGCGCACTGGAGGAAGACACAAGAGACACAGCAGATAGGACACCCTTCAAATAAAAAGTTTTATCAGACAACGGCCAAGGAGACTGATGAGCTTCCATTTTAATCTTGTCTGGCGAGCTTATAGAAGGAACCAAACAAAAATGTTTTTCAAAAGACTCTCAATATAAGTTTGACCACCACACAGCACACACAAATTAAGTTTAGCGTCTCCGGGATTGTACAATTTTAGTATTTATGATTTTTTGCCATTTGTATGATTTATCGGACTTAGGGCCGTGGTCCTTCTGTTGCCCCTTGCACACAGGACCAGATAGCACTCTTATTTCTGAGACGTTGCCGTTGACCCCTGCACTTTTCCTAGCACGCTTTACCCCATTGGATTCTTCCATACCCGGGTCCAGTGACCGAGGCTCGTCGGTTTGAATCCACTGTAGAAGTGTCTTTGGATGAGACGCTGAGTCTGTCGGGCATCCATTCGTGTGGGTTGTAGGTGAGCTGGAGTCTAGCCCAGGTAAATTGATGCCAACTTAGCACTTTTTTTTTTGCTAGGTTTAGCAACTTTTCAGCCCCCGCCCCCACCCCACAAAAAACACCTTGCAACAAATTTAGCGACTGCATGTACTTTACAAATGTGTTTAGGAATGTAAGCATCTATTAAAAAGTGGGCCAAAAGCTAAAACGATACATTTTTCCCTCAAACTCAATGCACTCACTCGCTGCAGATGGAAATCATGCTCGTCTTGCAAAATACTCAACATTTGATTTAATGAGATGTGGATTTCTCTGTTGGCTCGTTTGATAACTGTACTTAAGATGATGAAAAGTGGAACATCTACAGTTAAAATTAATCAAATGCTCGTACCTCCAAAATCATCACCCCAAAAATTGCATGTTTGTTCAACCATTAGCATTGCATCATCAAAGAGATCAAGCCATTTTTAACACTTCAGATTAGTCAATAATTTGTAATAAATAAATAAATAAATAAAAATAATAACACCTCCATGTGTGGACTGACAAATGTAGAAATATGAATTTTACCAAATTTTGACACAGCAGGTTCTGACCTGACACCAGCACCAGCGGTATGTAAATTAAATATGAATAAAACCAACCTACATTGAATTTTGCGTTGTTTTGTTCTTACTTTTACAACTAAAACATGACCCTAAATTACTCTTCACAGATTTCATGCTGGGATGGACAGCCAATTTGAAATAATGCCACTGTGCAACCGACAAAATGTTTGAGGTAATTACCCAAGAACATCATCACGCAATGAATGGCAAGGTCATTTACTATAGCAATTTTTAGCAACAAATAGGCCCTGGCAGCAACCCCTGAAAATTAGTTTGAAAATCTGCCCAGATGACTTGGGGTGAAACTATCACAGGATGCATTTAAACAAACAACCATTACCACCAGTCACAATCGTAAGTCTTCGGTTCACCTAACACGGAATGCGGGAGGAAGCCGGCGTACCCGCCGAAGCCTGTGAGGCTTGCGTAGCTCACTGTGCTGCCGTTTGTTATCGTGTTACCGAACATGTTTTACAGGCAACAGTTTGGCCCTTCACTTCCTCGGAACCTACAATAAAACAATACAAGTTGATTTAACTGAAGTAATATTTTTGTTTATGGCTTTAAATTTAGTTTAAGATGGTGTTAGCCAAACTAGCAAGCTAATGTTAACATTAGCTAGTATTTCCTGGGAAACAAAGTAAAACAAAGTTGAGTTAACTCAAGTAAAATTCCCTGTTAATGTCTCTAATTGTATTTCAAGCTGGTGTTAGCGAAACTAGCATATATGAACATTAGCTAGTATGTAAATCCAAACTGACGTTCAGGCTAAGTCACATTCAGGTTGTTAATCTTTAATTGATTTTCCTCAGAACAAACATGTTCTCAAATTTAATCAATGTAATATTAAAAGGATGCAACACTGTAAAACGTTCTTACTAGCTTTTCATTAGGAGTGAAGGAAAAAGGTTTCAGATATATGTGATTTATTTCAACAAGGATGCGGTGGCATAGCCTTACAAATCGGACATCAGTGGCCCAAACCCTGCAAACGCATGTCTCGGCAAGCAGTGCTGAGTTCCGCAGTATAATGAAAGAGACATATTAATGACCTCTCACTTATTCATGCGTCGGAAATGAAGAGGCAGAGTCACATTTGAAAAAAGTTGACGGAATAAAGAGACGACGTTGGAGAAATGATTGTATTTATGATTTCAGCCTGACAGATGAACGTGTCGAGAGGGAGGCTGAGTGAAATGTCGGTGACAGTTCAAAGGGTGAATCGTTGTGATGTATGGCAACATATTCTTGTTGCGTTTAAGAGTCTGAGCCTTTTGGGTGCAGACCTACAGTCAGAGTGAGAGTGCAATAGTCATTGCTGTAATTTGAGGACTATCACACGTTGTGCATATCAATGTCGGCTGTGCAGTTGAGTTGTTTTTTGTTTTTTAATGATGTTTAGTGAATGTGAATGTTTTTTTTTCATTTTTGTGAGCTCTAGTGCACTTTGTAGTTTTACCGCACAGAGGCCCGGCTTTCAATAGCACCACCTAG